TGTACACACTGTCAGATTGCATGATGGTTCTCTTGGGGGTTTGAGAAATCCAAGAGGTCTGAATGAGTTTTCAAAATGCCTGAACAAAGCTTTGGAAGCCTGCCTGTGATAAGGCTGACCTCTCTCACTGCCTCTTGCTCGAGCTCTGCAGGCCCAGTTGGATCAGTGGTCGGCTACAGGAAACATCTGCCACAGGCTCTGTACCGGGCCTGCTCTCCAGCATGTCTGCGGCCCCTTCACAGCAGCATAAACACACTTCACTCTACAAGGCCAGCTCCCCCCTTCCTCTAAGATCTGAGCCAGGTCTACACACAAGAACGTCCACAAGACTTTTCCACAACAGGCTGTGGGAGAAAAGGTTTGAATGCTTTCAACAAGAAGATTCTTTCCAGACAGGATGTATAGTAACATAATGAGAGGTTTACTGTTGCTGCAAAATTATTGTAGTTTCTGATATTTGTTGATGGAAGAATAGAAGGAACTGTCTCTTGGCTCCCAATTCCTGAGCATTTCTAAAGTTAAATCTGACCCTATTATGAATTTAGTTAATAGAAAAACAGTTCTGATTCTGTAATGTAGGATTTCCGAATGCATTTTGTTTCCTTTTTGTTCTCTCTGCACGGAGATCTGTAGGCTTGCTCTGTGGAAGGAGATGACACCTCACCATGTTTTCATCTCAGCTTGTAAGCAACAGATGATTTCTCAATGCAATGGATAGTGTGAGGTACTAAAAATGCAACTCATGCTTTTGATTGCAATACTCCTTAGACTCTGATGTTGATATTTCCCAGTCCTGGCACATTAAGCCTTGTGAGAGCCCCTCACCGTGGTGCTGTGGATCTTCATCTTGAACTTGTCGAAGTACAGCCAGTGCTGGGCCTCCTCGGGGTCCAGGTCGTGGTAGCTATCCCGCGCTGCGAAGCCGAAGCTGTGGAAGCGCTGCTCAGGGGTCAGCAGCAGGCAGGTCGGGCTCTTCTGATTGGCCACGCCAGGGTCACCGCCCTCCCAGCGCCTGGTGAGAGCCGAGGCACAGAGGGAGCCTTGAGAGCTGAACCTATCTCAGTGTCTGCAAGACAGCTCATCGGGCAGGACTGCAGAGTGTTGGACTGTCCCAGTGCAACAAGTGTTTTGTGCACAGCCCCCACAAAAGCCTGAGACAAAATGCTGACCTCCCCCCACAGATTTGGAAATCTGTGCCTCTCCAGGCCAGCAGGGTGAGGATGAGGAGCACACAGCCCGGCAGTGTTAGAATGAGCACTATGGAGCGTGCTGGAAGTGATGCTCACCTCATCATGTGGATGGCCTCGGGGTCGTGGGTGAAGCTGAAGGCGTAGCCGCTGGAGGTGGTGCCGAAATCGATGGCCACCACGACAGAGAAAGGCCGAACGCATCTGGGCCGCAGGACTGTCCTCTGCAGACGGGGAGCGAGAGAGGCGGTGTGAAACAAGAGAGGAGAAGGAGGGATACGAGAAGCAGGTGGGTGGGTGCAGAACTCGTGAGAAGGGTGATGAGCCATGTGGGAACTTGAGATTTAAACCAGAGAGTGTCTATCATGGCCTGTTCTGCTTGAAGGCTGCAGGAAGGCTCTGTCTGCCTAAGGGAAACACAGTAGGTTTAGCCAGACATGCAAGGAAAGCTAATGTCCCATTTTGCAGGTGATGGTTTGGTCTATGAGTTGAGCTCTTTATTTGACTTAACCTGCCCAGGGGCATAGTCCTGCTCATACTTCAAGGAACAGGCCTTCATCAGTGTTCGGGCTGGGTGTTGCTTCAGTGCTTTTTAAACATCCTGCTCTAAACATCATCAGCCAAGAGAGCACATTTCTGAAGCAGTTTCTTCCACAGGTCTTAGACTCTCTGAGAGAACTGAGATCTGAATCTACAATTAAACAACAACCAGGTTCCATAAGCACCTGAGTCTGGTATTCATTAGCAGAGCACGAGCTTTTTAAACCCCATCTGAAAGATGTCCACCCAACCAGTTTTGATTTGTGCTGATTTGCAAATATATACAGCCCCATGTTGTTTAGACTGTAGTCAGTGCAGTATCACCGGCACACTTCTGAAACAGCCCGAAGCAGACAGGACCCAGGGCACAGTAGACACATGATACATTCCTTGGGGAACTACGTATTCATGTTTCTGATCTCGGGTGTTTCAAGGGTTTCCTACTCTAGCAGGGTCTAGGTGTTTAGTGAAAAGTGATTCTGTGAGGCCGTGAGGTCCTGGAGGAATCAGGACTCTCTTCTGCAGCGCCTTCTCTTGTGACAGCATTACAGATTGGAAACATTTAACTGTTGGGACCGGCCTGTAAACCTGGACAAGTACATCATTTTTATCATGAATAAATGTCACTTTTATTATTATTATTCATCTACAATTGTTGCCAGTCTCTGTAATGGGCCATTTTGTCTCTCCAGTCCTGGGGTCCCAAGACAAATCCCCTGGGGTCCCCCAGGAAAAGCACACTCGGCTGGTCTTACCGGAGAAGGGGAGGGGGTGAGGGGCGCGATGCTGCAGCTGTCTCCAAGGGAGGGGGAGCAGGGGGGTGATGGGGTCACCAGTCGCTCTCCTCCAGCACCTGAAACACAAGACGACACCAGCCCAGTTTGCAGAACATCATCATAGTCAGTTCTGTTTAGTCAATTTTGGGGGGTAAGAGATTTTACACTTTTTTGACATAACTACCTGGACGTAAATATTTACATCTGTTGTCTTGCACAAGGTGCTGATCTGAATGCTGTTTCTGAGACATACGCACATTTCTAATGAATCACTTAACAGTTGTACAAAACTTCAATTAAAAAAAATATGCACTACGAAAATGAATGTGGATGCTGAAATATTCTTAACTCTGTTCAATATGTTCTTAGGTTTCCAGTGTCAATGTGCCAGCACAGGAGTACAGTATAGACAGTATGGTAACAATTCCAAGCAACTCTTGTATTAGGATATAGTATATAGGTCAGGTGTCAATAACTCCAGCTCAAAAAGTCCAGTTGCTATTTTAAAGCCAACAAAGGGGTTAAACTGACTCAGCTGAGGAAAGTGTTGACTGAGCTAGATAAGGGTGGATCAGCCAGGAAGGGTGCTCTCCCACACTGCAGCCTGAGCTCAGTAATGCAGGCATGGCCAGTACAGGTCTGGGCTGCACGATCAGCTGAGTGCATCTGAGATTCCTGATGGGCAGTGCACACCTGGACAAGCACCTTGGCATCCATCATGAGGGTAAGAAATACACACCACTCTCCATTCTTCACACTGACACACTCCACTCCCAACTCTTCACACTGACACACTCCCAACTCTTCAC